AAACATGCAAAAAGAGGAATAACATGCAAAAGGGTGGATTTGTAGGAAAGACGTGCGTTTACTTTTGTAAACTCGCAGTCGGTTCAATGTGTAACTCCCAAATTTCAGAGAAACGCCCCATATTTCAAGCCACTGGGGTCAGGCAAGTGTGTGTGAATGCCTCAAAGCTGATCCAACCCAGAGCAAGAGTTGTATCCTGGGGCTTTGAGCAACCTGGTCTAATGGAAGGTGTCCCTGCCCATGGCGGGGGGGTTGGAACAAGATGATCTTGAAAGGTCCCTTCCAACCCAACCCATTCCATGATTCTGTACATTGAGTCAGTGTCCTAATCTTTGGGTCTTTCCTATGGGGCTGTGGACAAACACAGGTCAACCAGCGACTGAGTTTGAAACACCTCAGGTCCAAACAAGCTTGGGGCAGGCTGAGGCTCTTTCAGGCTCTTTTTCCATCTCTCTCATCCTAATTTTCCTCCTTGCTGTGTTTCAGCTATGACTTCAAGCCAGCTGGGACTTCAGAGCTGGAGGAGGATGAAGGGTTCAGTGACTGGTCGCAGAAGCTCGAGCAGCGCAAACAGAGGTGGGTCAGGCACAGCTGGACCTGTTTTTTGGGGATGTTTGGATGGAGATTCGCGCTCCCAGCGATGCCAGCTCCCACCAGGACGCTGGGGCTCAGAGGATTTAAAGCCACTTGAGCTGCCGCAGCGGGGGAAACAGCCTCTTAACATAAACCAGGCTGGCCTGAAGAGGCTGTTCTAAGTTATTGCCTCTTCCTGTCTCGTGTCAGTGGAGTGGGTGTCATGGCCTCAGCCCGCCTCATGCTGCGCTCCTCTTTCAGCAGGGAGGGGAGAAAACAGGCACGAAAGAGCCCTTGTGTGCGGCTCTTTAGTCCCCATCTCCCATCACTCCCCCCTTGCCGAGGTGGACCAAGCTGAGCTTAACCCTTCCCTTGGGCACCATCTACCTGCACGTGAGCTCAGCTTGATTTCGTGGGTAAATTTTGACCCTGGGATGACACAGCCTCTTCTTTACCCCTGAGACTGAAAAAAACTGCCTAAGATTAATATTTACTGCAGAAGCAATAAACAGAGCTCACCTCTTTCTTACTTTTTTCCCCAAATGTTGTAGCTAAACCACTCTGTAAGCTGTACTTTTGCAGCCCTCACCCCAGGAGCATTGCTGCTCACCGTGGCATTGCTTACCACATCTGTGGGAGCAATTAAAAATCAACCCCATCTGCTTTTTGGCACGCTGCCTCTTTTTCCAACCCCTCTCCTTTCAAAGAGCTTGTCCACAGAGAAAGGCTACTGCTGTTCCTTGCTTCGCTTGCAAAACAGAATTAGCTTGAAGGGTTGCGTTAACCCCTCCAGAATTTGCTCCTTGTTTTTTTTTTTCTGTGATGCTGCTGACCAGAGCAGGTGGTATCCATGGCAGGTGAAGCTCATCAGGGTGGGTAGTACTTTAAAAGCAGCAGCCCTGGGGAAGCAGGTTTTTGGCCAGAGGCTGCTTAGGAGAGGTAGGTGGAGAAGCTCGGAGCCCCCAGGAGAGGCTGAGAGCATGGTGTGAGCACAGGTAAGTTCTATGTCTTGCTGGGATGCCCCGTGCTGGGTCAAGCTTTTTCCAACTCCCCTCACTCGTGCTTAAGCGAATATGGAGTGAGCCTTGGTTTTTAATGTGAAGAAGATTTGAGTGGTGACTGCATCTCCCAACGATGGAGAATGTTGGATGGAGCTAAACCAGCTTGTGCAGCCCTTGAGGGCCTTGGTGCTGAGGCACCTTCTCTTCTGGTTCCCCACCATGCGGGGGAGATCCTTGCAATCAAGCTGGTTAAGACAAATTAGTTGCTAGATGATGAGTAGCAAGCCAGTGGAGCCAGCACAGGTCAGCTTTCTCCCTGTGCGGTCAGTGAGGAGGGCTGGGTGGGAGGGCTGTGCTGCGAGATGCTTTCCCAGCCACGAAGAGGTGGGTGGAAAAGTCTTGCTTGAACTTTTCCTTCATGGCTTCTTTTGGTGCTGGCTGGTGAGGCAGGAGCGGTGAGTCAGCCTTGCACTTTGGCAGCTGCCTGCTAGCCAGCTCTCTCGACCTTGCTGCGTGATTTTTCTAAGAAATGTGTGGGAGGAGAAAGCTGCTCTCCGGCCGGGGGTTGTGAGATGGCAATAACATCTTGGTGCAGGGCTGTGAGCCAGCAGGAGCTTCCACTGTGCCCAAAGGCATGGGCTGCTCTGCTTTTGCAAAGCTGCTGGCTTCAGTGTGCTCCTGGGGAATCCTCTTGTACAAACCCCTCCATCCTGTGGTTTTCCTTCAAGCCTAAGGCAAGGAGTGACTCTGGCTGCTTTGGGTCTCCTTTGTCTTGCTGGGCTGTGGCATGAGTAGAGGTGGGAACTGTGGGGACAGCATCGGATGCGTTTTATGCACCAGGACTGTGGAGCACCCTGGCTCACCTGGGGTTTTGGCTGTAGTTGAGCGGAGAGCTGAGCCAGCACCACATCATGGTGTTAGTGTCTGCTCTGCCTAGGGTCTGGATGGAGATCTGATCTCTGTTTTCCATGAGTCTTGCCCATGGTGAGGCTGGAAGGTGTCGATGCCTTCAGTTCTGCCATAACTCTTAGTTAAGCTGCATCGTAGATGTTCAAAGTGTGGGAGTGGGATGTGACTTCTGTAGGAGTTGGGTGCCTGGAACTGGATGGGACCATTAAGGGTCTGTGAGCTCTGGTGTAAAGCATGGGGGAGCAATAAAATTGAATTTCTAAAGGTCTGAGGCACCTGATGGTTTGTAGGCTCCTAACAATGTGTTCTGCTTCTTTGCCCTCTTTCCCCACCTCTAGGTCCCCAAGAGAGTCCTATCAAGAAGAGGATGGTGGTGTGAGGGAAGCTGAGGTCAAACTGGAGCAGATCCAGCTGGATCGGGAAAGCCTGGAGGAGATCCAGGAGGAGAATGTGGTTATCGGGGAGGAAGCGCGGCTGTGTCGGGAGGAAGAAGAGCTCCAGGAACAGGAGGAAGAGGAGAGGGCCGAGCAAGAGGTGGGGGAGGAGGAGCTGACCTTCTCTCCAGAGGGCTGCTCTCCAAGAACTCAGCTCACCGTTGCTGGGTGTTGAGCCCATGTAGACATGCCTTCATGGCATGAACTGGGGGGCTGGTGCCACTCTTGCCCACGTGTCTTCTTGGGGTCACTGCAGGGAACCCTTCCCTCTTCTGAGGGTGCTGCGTTTGCTCCCAGAGTTTGTGGGGGTTTAGTTGTGTCCCTGTGATACCAAGTGGTGCTATTTTTATATTTTTTTTCTCCCATGGCTTTGAGGGCAGTCAGCAGCTCTTCAGGAGAACTCAGGTATAAATTTCACTGCTTGTTTTTTCCTCCTCAACCTTTATCTCACCTTTGGAGCACTTTGGCTTGATGTATCTCTAAATCTTGCATTGCTCCCAGCTGAGGTTTTCTTTATTTGCTCTTCTGATGAGGTGGAATTCCTGATTGAGAAAGAGACAAAGCTGGAGCTCGAGTGGTGTGCAAGTCCTTCAGCGTGGCCGAGCCTCAAATATATTTTGTTGTAAATGCATTTTGACTTGCTGAGGCCGGTATGCTTTTTGCATTTGAACGGTGTATGTGACCCTTTCTAGCCTTTTATTCTAAAGGCAGCTGCTCTCTTGCTTTGTGGCCTGTAAACAAGAAATTCACATTTTTCCTATCTCAGCAGTGGTAAGAAATCTTTATTAACTGGTGTAAGGACCCCTTTCCATGTAATTTGGGAACTTTGAATGTGAAAAATTTCTTTTTTTTTTTTTTTTTCTTTTTCCCCTGACAAATGACACATGAGCTTGTTCCTGAATGTTTCAAAATTAGATGATGTGGACTCAAAGTTTCTGTGCTCGTGTGGTAAAGCAGGAAGCCTGGGAGACGAGGGGAGGAAAAAAAAAAAAAGAAATCACTTTTGTTGCAAAGTAAGCAAGCTCGCTTCCTGACTTGTTCGTATTCTGCACTCAGGAAAAGAAGAGAAGGAGAAATGAAGAAGAAGAAACAACACTGGAGAAGCACCGGAAGGCTCCAAGCGTGGGAGAGGAGGAGCTGTGCTCTGACCCCGCCGCGGTGTGCTCCGTGAAGGTTTGTGTTCCCCTCTGGAGATACGGCAACGATCCCGACTAAGGATGAGGAGAGATAGTCCAGGGCTTATGGTAAAGGAGGGTGTGAATCCTCTTATCCCAGGAGGGGAGGAGGTTGTCAACCTCCTTTCTCCCTGCTTGAGCTGCTGCAGTACTTTCCTAATCACCCTTGAAGTTTAAAGTTCATTGAGGACTCCAGGGAATGTCGTAATATTGAGAAGGATGCCTGTGCTTCCAGCTTGTGAATTTGGTCAAAGACCACAAATGAACTTCATCAGAAAATGGGAAAAAAAAACACCCAGACCACCAAAAACCACCCCAGACTTGAAGTGCTGGAATTCCCCTATCTCAGAATAAAATCAGAAAGTATGACTTAAACATTTTAAACAAGTGGGGATTCCTGATCTCTGAAGCATCACGTCCGTCCTAATCATATCTCTCTTCATTGATGCTATTGCGAAACTTCCATTATTTATTTTTTTTTTTTAACACCACCTGAATTGTATCTCATGACTTCTGTTGCATTTGCTACAAATCCTCGGTTCTGTGTGCGTGCTTTTAAATACAATGGGTACAGATAGGTGACTTCTGTAGTGAATGGCTTTTTGTCTTTGTCAGCCTTAAGCTTGTTGATGGATGCAGTGAGGGGAACGGTGAGGAGCCTCGGTAGCCTGTTCATCTGCCTGTTTGGTGGGGTTTTGGGGTGTTTTTTTGTTTGGTTTTGTGGTTTTTTTTGCATTTGGATCTGTGCTCTTTGCTTCTTAGTCAGTGTTTCCTAGATGGGAGGGATTGTAGGAGCTTCCTCTTGTGTCAATAAATAGATCATAAGAGAAAGGTTTCATCATCTGCAACTGCCAGATTCTTGCTCTTCATGGAGAAGGCTTTTAAAAGTCAAATAACAAGAGAGAGGATGGGGTTGGATGCAGGCCACGTGGTAATGTTAGGTTTGAAAAATGGGGTGAGAGTAGGCAAAGTATATCCTGGTGGGGAAATGCTGGAAATGCTTCCAGCACCTTTTGTGTGCTGCAGCTTTTGTCATTATAGCCCCAAACCATACTGTTGCTTGTGGAAAGAGAAGAACATCTGCAGTGGTTGGTGAGGTCCTCAGCCAGCTGTGGCTGCTGGGGGCCAGGTACACATCTGGGGCAGGCAGATGTTGGGATGGTTTGGGGTTCAGAGAGGCTGGAGGCTGCAGGAGATGTGTGGTGGCCGTGGGGAAGCTTTGTACCAGCCTCATCGTGTCCCAGGTTTCTTGTGAGCTCTGAGTTTTGAGGTGAGTGAGCAACTGTGGTTTCTTCTGGCCTTCAAGAAGTGCTTTGGAACAGAGAAACTCCCAGCTCTCGCTGTGGGGAATTGCCCTATTGGGCAGGAGGAGGTGGTCTACAAATAGCCTGGGGAAAGTTTATTCCCGCTTAGGCTGTCCTGCTGAGGTCTGCTGTCACCCACAGCCTTTCTGAAGCCTCTCTGTGCTTAACTTGATGCTCACTCGTGACCTTTCAGAAGCAACTGTGGGTGGTTTGCCCTGCATGGCAGGGCTGGCAAGTTTTTGGTAATTTTTTTTTTGTTTTCCTTTTGATACCTTCTTGTGGTTGAGAAGCTGAGACACAGGCAGGGATCTACCTGAGTCTCCTTTCAGGTGCTGTTATGCCCATCAACGTGCCTCCTCTGTGACATGGTCTTGTCTTCTTCTGAGCTAAAATTTAGCACTGGCATCCTGAAACCATCTTCAGATGAGGACTTGGCGCTGCTTTTTTATCTGCTAGCTTGGTACATGGTGTTTCTTGTGGCACAGGCAGCAGTTATACGGGCAGAAAAGGCTCCTTATGACTTGATTGCTGATTTATGGCTCTCTAGGAGCTGGTGTTAAGAAAGAGCCTCCCCTTTTGACTTGAAAATGATTTTTGCATCTGTTTTCTTCCCTGGGATGCCCCAGAAAGAACTGCAAGGCTTTGCAACACTTAAGCTTTCCTTTGTTCAATTTGCTTGCCTTCCTGCCTTGGCCAAAGAGTTCTTGCACAGGAGCCTCTTGTGCAAAACTCCCTTTCCTGATGTCTTGACCTGAAGGGCTGCTTCGCAGGTGGCTCCACGTGCTGACTTTACCATGTCTGTGTGCTTCTCTGGTGTGGATAAGTTGAAGTAAATCATGCCTGTGCTGCTCTACTGTTACCTCCCCTTCTGCAGATGTGGCTCTGGTTTTCCCCTTTTTCTTGGTAAGGACAGAGGGAGTAGAGAAAATGGTCCTGGGTGCTGTTTCAGCTTTTGGTCAACTGCACGTTGTTGGTTTTCTCCCAAAACTGGTTGGGCTGCTGCTCTGCAGTGGTGCTTTCAGTTGGGATTCTGCTCACCTGCTTTGGAAAGAACAAGGGAAGGCGATGCTCGCTGTCTCTGTGACCTGTGTGGGAACGTGGGACTGAGTGAGGCATTTCTGATCAAAGTCTAGGTGATCAGGGAAGAGAAATGGTTGAACTATCGTTAGCTGAGGTGACCTGCCTCCATCTGAGGTCCATGGACAAAAGTAACATCTTTGTCTTCTCTCTCCCACTTTAGATCGCAGACAGAACTGAGTCGCTGAACCGCTCGATAAAGAAAAGGTATTTCTGGGGTTGACCTCGGGGTAAAGCAAGTCCCTTCATGCAAATAGAAGGTGCTGGAGGGCCCTGCTGTGGGGAAGGGCAGGAGTGACGGTCTGCCTGTGGCCATTAGAGTCTTCCCTTCTGCTTGGGGGATCCCCTTAATCCTCTCTTCTCCTCTCCAGCAACAGCATAAAGAGGTCTCCCATCCCTGTGTCGAAGATCGATGACAGGTTGGAGCAGTACACGCAGGCTATTGAGGTGAGTGCTATGTTGTCTCTCTGTCCCAAGTCTCCAAGGAGCCCTGGTTTCTGGGCACAGCTCCCTCCCTGTGTCTCGTAGCCTTACTGTCTGCGAGGTGACAACTGAGTTGTCTCCCTTTGAACGGGAGCAACCCTTTCCCCTGCTTCTCTCCCTCTCCACAGCATAAAAAACCTTTCTTTAATGACTTGTCCCATCCTTGCTTAAAGCATGGGAGCATCTGGCAGAAACTAGCAAGACCCTACAAGTCTCCTTTTACAGCCCCTCATCCCTGAGGCTCTCCACTTACGGGGGGAACCGAAGAAACACGCACTCCCCGATGGTCATCTCTTTCCATTTGTTTTTCAGACATCCACAAAGGCTCCAAAACCTGTCCGACAGCCCTCTCTTGACCTTCCCACCACGAGCATGATGGTAGCCAGCACGAAAAGCCTCTGGGAGACCGGAGAGGTGTCAGCTCAGTCTGCTGTGAAGTCCTCAACCTGTAAGGTAGGACGTTTGTGGGACTTGCCTTGCTTGTGCAGGTGGTAGAGCAAGGAAAGGTTCTGTGATGCTGGTCAACGCTCTATTTTGAAATGGGAATAAAATCAGCCGGGCTGAGCTACAGGTGTTGAGCCCAAAGTTGCATCTAGTCCCGAGGCAATAAATCTTGTAAGCTTGGAAAACCCAGAGAGTGTTATGTATTGGTCTCCTAGTAATTTCACTTTCTGGTTATGGGGAGCAAGGCTGAGTCTGCGACAGATGAGTTGTAAGTCTGTGTTTATGTGAGCAAAATTCCTTCCACATTAAAAAAAGAAGCCTTGATGTTGACATGTCATAAATAGTTAACAAACTTAAGGAAAAAAAACGTGTTGGATCTCTGATCCAGGCTCTTGTTGAAGAGAGTGAGGGAGAGAGCAAAACACAGGATATACTGGGAATAGGAAGAAGTTTCTGCAGGCGTGGGTTTTAGCTGCAGCTGTCACAGGTCAGATGATGTGGTATTATAAATAAAAAAGGAGGCCAGATGTGTGGGTTTGAGAGGGACGTGGACAAAGGCATGTTCAGCAGCGTTAGCAGTGAAGGGTAATGAGAACTTCATCTTCTCAGGATATTGTGGCTGGAGACATCGTGAGTAAAAGAAGCCTTTGGGAACAGAAGGGCAGTCCCAAACCTGAGACCAGTACCAAGGTGAGTTAGTATGAAAGCACTTGCTCTGTCATGAAAAAGAACTCTTGGCTGGGTTAGAAAAACTGAGATGACGATGAATTGGGCTGATGATGAAGAATTGAGAAGATGGTGATGGCAGGGATAAGGGCTGGCTGTATCTATCAATGCATTTGCATACCTAAGAGCAAAAAGCAAGCTGCTGTTGCTTGAGCTCTAGTAAAAATGGGGGCAAAAATGGTTTTATAACTAGTAATGCTGAAGGATCCTTTGACTAGCATGTTCTCAGTGTGTAAGTTGAGCCCTAAGGCTCAAATAGAGCTGCAAACAGGAGTTACTTTGCTCTTGGTGTGCTTGTTCATCTCGAGTAAAGAAAATATGTGAAACTAAGTGGAACTGAACCTAAGGCAATAACCAACACTTGCAGATGGATCTGGGGTTTTGTGCCTACTGGTACTTTGTGGGAATGCCCTTGAAAATGCAGAAATGCAGCAAGCAGCTGCTTCTTGAATTGTCCAGGCTGGGAGAGGAAGATCCAAATATCTTGCCTGGCTTTGGGTCAGTACTGCTGCCAGTATGTGGCAGCTGGCTCTTGCCACGGGTGACACCAAGCCTGGCTGGGGTTGCTGCATTACCTTACGCTTGTGGAAAGGGGTGGCCAGTCTGTGCAAAGAGTTTTAAGTGGGCAAGAAGGGAGTGCAGAGCAGGCTGTACTCTGGAATTACATACAACTGCATCGCCTGATACTCTGGCTTCACTTATTTGATCTCGACTGTCTATTTGAGAGAGAAAAATGCTGACTTGGGCTCTTTCTTTCCCTCCTGTTCAGTCTGCTCCTTCTGGCAAGAAGTATAAATTCGTTGCAACAGGCCATGGCCAGTACAAGAAGGTGTTGATAGACGATGCTGCAGAGCAATAGAGTGCCTGGAGAACTCATTAACCGGGTAGGTGGGCTATGACCTTGTGCTTAATGTCTTAAGGAACCTGGTGCTGCTCTGGCAGGGCGTTGGGGTTGTTTCTGCCAGCTGGGTGGGTTGGAAGTTCCCGTACGGGAACAGCTTGGAGCGCTAAAAAACTGCCTGACTTACTGAGCTGGGAGGGAGTGGGTACGCAGGAGGGATTTGGTTTGGTGTCTCGACTTTATGATCTGCTAGGAAGCTGGCTGGTTGTTAGCTTAACCTGCAGAATAAGTCCTTTAGCTACTGCTGTTTGGGTGAAAACGTGTTTGCCTTTGCTAGTTCTCTGTCTGCTGTTTTCTTTCACGTTGTGAGAAGCAGATAGCTGGAGGTCATGCTGACTGAGTACTGCTGAAACTTGGGTGCTTCAGGGGTTTAATTCCCAGATTTAGTGAATTAATTGGGCAGGGGAGAAATTTCTAATGATTGCAACAACCTCTTTGGAAGGAGCCTCTAACAGGGATGTAGTGAGGAGGGTGTGAACATCTGCTGGGCAGATCAACGGAGCAGAAAGGATCCTCCTCTGATGTGCAGCAAGGGGGGGAGGTAGAGCCGGGCTGTTGCCTCTGTGCCCTCTTGAAATGGCCTTTGGATGTCGTCCTCGTGTAGTGTTTCTGTTAATAGATATCCTGGTGTTATCTGGAGTTGGAAGAAGCTTGTGGAAATAAGGAGGAATGGCATAGAGGGAGGTGATAACCGGTTGGATCCAACCGGGCAGCATTTGGCACAGTGAGAGGAGAGGAAGTTATCGGGAGATGAAAACAAGCTCGTTCTCTTTTTTTCCAACTATAAAAAAACCCAAGCTTTATTTCATAGCCAAGCTTATAAATAGCTCTGTCTGCTACAAAACACCTTTTGTTTCTGAATTCTTCTGGGGGCTGTGTTCTTTTTTTTTTTTTTCTTCCCCTCAAGGAGCTGGCTTCTGATCTCTATCTTTTTAGAGGGCAGCATATTGTTTTGTTTGCTTTTTTCCTTTTCCTTTTGCAGTGCCCATTTGGAAGCTCTCTTGAATTCTACTTTATGTAGGGCAGCAGTACAAACCCGAGCCTGCCCAAAGCTGTGTTTTCAGAGTAGCCCACAGGACTTGCATCCTCAACTTTCATCTCTGCCTGTGGTTTTCAGAAAACTATTTTAAGGTCTCCTGTTTGAGCAGTCCTTTTTCTTACTGAAGTCTGTTTTGATGCACCAGGTGGGCTCCTACTGAGCTTCAGTTCTTTTTAGCAAACTGGCTTTACTAGATTGTCAGCATTTTAATTTTTTTAATTAATTTTTTTTTGCACTACCTGAGCTTCTGCAAGTAACTCAAAGGAAAGTGCCCTCGGTTGTGGTCTTTTCCCACCATCCCTTCTTGACAGGCCAGTGGCTGTCATGGGATGTCCCCTGGGATCGCTCCGGCACTCCCAACAGCTACGGCACAACGCTGTTGCCCTATGGGTTCATTCACAAGAAGGTTTGTTGTGGGGTTTTTTTTGACTGTGAATAGCAAAGTGACTGTGATGGCTGAAAGATCTTGGCTTGTTTCTCTTCTTGGATTTTTCAGCTGTTTCATGTGTGCCGTGAGGTGCTTGTCTCCCCACCTCCTCTCCATCCCCCTGAACTACCTTCATCCTTTTTCCCTACTGCTGGCTCCCTTTGTGGTTGCCTTTTTCGCTCCCAAACCCTTTTAGCTCAACACCACCTTACCAACTTTCTAGCTGCTTCCAAAACCATCTTTTCTGACCAGGTTCCCCTTGTCTCCCTAACGTAATCAATATTGGTGCTCTGCTTCACGCTCATGCTCTGGGCTCTTGTGGGTAGCTGTGTGGTAAGGTCATCTTCATCTGCATCAGGCATTCTGCACGTTTTACGCTGCACACTCTTTTGGTTTTTGATTTTTGCATTGCTGCGTGGATCCTTCTCTTGCAGCATGTTGAATCACCCTGCAGAGGCTGACCTGGGATCCACTCGTGATTACCAGTGCCCTTCCACCTAAGCTTTAAGTACTTGGGCTGCTCTTCCTTCTCATTTTATATTTTTTTTTAAATTGGAATAGAGAAGGGGTTACAGAACAGAGAGGATAAGACCAGCTAAGTGAAAACTTCAGTGAAGGTTTGATGATACTGAGCTGCTCTTACAGCACCGTCACAGAATTGAAAGACTTCAAAAAAAAAAAAAAAGGCAAAAAGGGCTCTTGGTTTTGTGTTTAAGTCTGTTTGCTGTTTGGCTTGGGGAAGTCTTGGTCAGCTCCATGTCCTCTGCACACAAGAGAATGTAAAGAGCTATGTATAGAGTTTCCTATTTGAACTAAATGTAACAATCCTATATTAGGTGTGTAGGAACACCCCAGCATATGAGAAAGTCCCTTGTGAAACAGAAATAGCTGATCTCCAACTTTCATGCTGATAAGTCTGGTGGAGATGCAAAGGGTGACTGTTGTGCTGGAAAGCACAGTTGGCTCTGTGGATGGACAGAATCAAGGATTTTGCTGGTGTGGTTTTTTTGGTGTGCTTTTTTCCTGGACATCATGCACCAGTAGATATCCACTGTCCTGTTGTTCCCCCTGAAAATGAGGCTACATGTGGTTAGCAGAACCCCCCAGAAAACAGCACCTGGTTAAATACAGAGTTGGACGCTTGTGTGCTGAAGCAGGCTCTTGTTGATGATCAATATCATCTTGTTGATGATACCTGTGCTTAAAAAAGCTCAGTAAAACACAGTGAAGTCTTCTGTGCACTACAGTTCAGTGGGCTGACCTAGGAGGGCATCAAATGATGATGCCCACTTTTAAATTTATTTTTTTTTAAGGTAGGGGAGCTGCTGTGTGAGAGCGGGATGGGCTTCTTGTGCTGTCCCTTGTCTGTGTGTTGGGTGGAGGGGTGAGTTTCCACCTTGTTCTCGGTGAATAGGTGTGGAGTGTTGTTTCAGTGGAGAAGCTGAAGAGGCAATGTGTACCTTCTTTGAGTTTGGTTTCTAAGACTTCCCTAGAGGAGATGTGGAGCAGCCCAAATTCCTTCAGGTCATCTCCTCTACAACTGCTTCAGTTTCTAGGATTTATCCTGGCCTTAAACACAACAGAATAAATTCAGATTCCACCATCCTTCTCTAAATTGGACTTTTTCTACATCTGTGAATGTGGCATGTTATGCATTTAAGCTTACAGGCACGTGGAGAGCAACCCTTAAACCCACAGCATGATGCTGCCAGCCCGGAGGAGGTTAATTTAATTTTATTTTTTCCCTTCCGGTTGGCTCTGTTGGGCAGCAGACCTAGCCGTAGGTGCTCTCTTTCTTGGTGCCCGATAGGAACCTCCGGAGATGTGGAGCAGCCCGTCTTCAGTTGCCCGACCATCCCGATGCCGTTCTGTTAAAGCTGTTGGCGTGCTTCTCAGCCGCTTCGGGTCTAAAGCGGCTCACCTCGAACATAGTGCTGATCTTTGTCATGGGTTTGGCAGCCAGTTCCTTCAGCTTCCGAGCATCGAAGCGGGGCTTGTGTAGAAGGATGGGCAAGCGGCGGGGAAGAAAGAAGTGTTCTTCCTTCCGTGGCTTCTTCTCTTCTGCTTGCTGCTTCTTCTCCTTGTTGACCGTCACCTGGTATAAAATAGCATCCCACATCCTTGTGGCTCTGGATTTGAACAGCCGGTGGTCTTGACTGACGATGGCTTGAGAGCTGTCCTCCTCCTTGCTCTTGTCCTCCTGTCCCAGCTTTGCTGGCTTGGGCTCTGGGAAGTTCGGTGCTTCGGAGTGCACCATCAAGTGCTTCCTGAGGCGATTCCAGCCGCTGGTGTTGGCGCCGGGAGGTTTTGTTTCTTCTGCTGGTGGTAATGCTGGCTCAGCTTTGAGGGGAGGGCTGGTGTTCGGTAGGCTGGGGGTCAACTGGGATTCAATGGCTTGTTCTGCCTTGCTGTCTGTGGAGGTGGCCCCGATGCTGTCAGCTTGTGTTGGGGTTGCTGTCACGGGCTGAGGTTGGCCACAGGGTGAGTTGGCTGTTGACGGTTTTAGGATGTCGCCCTCTTTCTTGGGTAACTCGGCAGCTCTCTCTGATCCAGTTGCTTCGGTGTCACTTCCATGGGTCATAGGCTTATCGGCGTGGGCATCGGAGGGGCTGGGCTTGGGTGATGGGGCCTGGATGGACTCTTCGGTAGGAGCAGGTTTGGCAGCTTCACTAGGAGGCTCTGCCTCTGTGGCAGAAAGGAGGGGAGGTTCTGGTGCAGGAGCTGTGGCCTTGCTGTCATCACGCTGAGTGGGTGTCTGTTCTGGAGATGGTTCAGAGTGGCTTGTTTCAGGCGCTGGAGAAAAAGGCCTTTTGTCTTCATGTTTGACAGTTTCTTGGGCCTGATTTGATGTGGGTGTCTTAGCCCTGGGTGGCTTGACACTGTGGAAATAGGTGTGCACCTTGGTGACGTAGGTAACCTCTGGGGCTCTTTCTTTACTGGGTGTACTGGAAGGAGGAGGCTGGGAGACGACTGGTATCGATGGGTCGTGTGAGGAGGTAAGATGGGTGTCCGTGCCTTCAGACTGCTGTGGAGTTTCAGGAGCTCCTGGCTTTTGTAGCAGGGGCATGGCCGAGGAGGTGGTGAGCATGACGTGCTCAGCAATGCGCCTCTGCTCGGTGACCTTCAGTGTGAAAGGCTTGCTCTTCCGGAACGGGGAGGGGATGCGGTGAGCGATGGGCTTGATGGAGAGGCGGGTTGGGAGGTTGGTGGAGGGGGGTGCTGCGTTTTCGGGGGTCTCCACTGCGGGAGCGCACTCATCGTGCTCTAGGTCAGAGCTGGCCTCGTTCACGGGTGAGAGGCTGGACCGAAAGAACTTGGCTTGCTCCGAAGCGAGGATTCTTCTTGGCTGCCTTCTTCAGCAGCCGCTGGAGCCGCAAGTTGTCCTTCCCGGGTTTTGGTAGGGTGGGAGGGGGAGAAAGGTGGTGGTGGTGGTGGATGGGAGGAGGCTGGATGGAGGATGATACCGTTATCAGCATTGTCATATCCTGGAAGAAAACACAAAGCTGAGAGTTGGTGTGGGCTTAGCTCTGGGTTAGGCTCTGAAACATTTATATGTAAAGCCCACCTCTTCCTCCAAGTTGTCCTTCCCGGGTTTTGGTAGGGTGGGAGGGGGAGAAAGGTGGTGGTGGTGGTGGATGGGAGGAGGCTGGATGGAGGATGATACCGTTATCAGCATTGTCATATCCTGGAAGAAAACACAAAGCTGAGAGTTGGTGTGGGCTTAGCTCTGGGTTAGGCTCTGAAACATTTATATGTAAAGCCCACCTCTTCCTCCCTCCAAAAGCTATGAGAATGGAGTCAGTGTTGTGGGAGAAGAGCGTTAGGCTTGGTTTCATCGGTCTTTCAAGGTAGCCTCAGCCACGGCTGAGGGTGGCGTGGCAGGGCAGGAGATATGCTGGGGGAAGCTGTATTGCCAGACCTGGAGCCCTCCTGTTCCTGGCAATTGCGGAAAATCCAGCGAGAGCTCCTTGGGACCCGGGTGTTTGTGTCTCGGCAGGTCCTAATGGGATTTGGAAGGAAAACTTCAAGAGAAATGGAGTGAGTCTGAAATTTTGAAGCTTTGAAATGTTCTCCAGAGGCACAAATCAGGAGTGTTTCATGGCTTTTCAGATTCCTTTTTTTAATGCTCTGGTACAATATTCTGTACAATAGAACAGATGTAAAGCACGTGTATCATTTGAGTCAAAGTCAGCGCTGGCCTTCATCGACTTCAGCTGGCAGAAAGACATCCCTGAGAAACGCAGGATGTTAAAAAATAAAAGTGTTTATCTGGTGAGAGAGTGCTTTGTCCAGGCATTAACTCTGACTGGCCTTTCCTTGCTGCGTCAAGCACAGTGGTGACCTTTTCCTTCTGTCCTCGATTTAAGAAAAAAATTTCCCTTGGGGACTGTGGCCACTGTATCATTTCTTCAGTGAAAGAGAAGTGGCTTGTGGTCTGGGTCAGGTCTTATCCTCAATGGCAGTTGCAGCTGGAGCCCCTTTGGCCAACCCAGTGCTGCTCCTGGGGGGATGCATGGCTACTGTTCCCACTCACCTCCTCCTTTCTGGTCAGATTTCCTGCACAGATTTCCCACTAAGGGTCTTGCGTTGGGGATAGAAAGCTAAAACTAGTCTTAGTTCTTCTCTTTCTCAGCAAGGCTGGTGGAACACCAAACTCTCAGTCTAACTGACTCTTTGGCAGCCCCCTGAAAGAAACCTGATTCTCCCCGGCTCTCACTCAGCCCAGAGTTGCTGAGTTTTGCTAAAAATGATGCATAAATCACCGAGCCCCTTGATCCCCAGTGCTGGATGCAATCGAGCATCCTGAAACGAGGATGAGGAGGTGGGGTGATGTCAGGTCTGCCCAGAGGGGCTATTGCATGTGCTCTGTTTGGTTCCTGGTGGCTCCCAACCTGCTCTGGTTAGTGTGGGTGTGTAGCATGATGTGGGGAAAATTATCCTGAAATAAAACAGTCGGAAGTGCAGGGTGGATGTTGGTGCAACTCATGAGTTGCCTTTGGGCTTGCACTGGGCTGGGGAGCTGATCTGTACTGAGCAAGCAGGTGGTGTGTCTGCCACAACCAGCTGGGGATGCGGGGGAAGAAGGACGATTCTTTAAAAAAAAAATAAAATAGAAAAATATAACAGCAAATGAGAGCACTGAAGAGGTGGACCTGTTGGAGCTGGTCCAGAGGAGGCCACAAAAGTGTTCAGGGCATTGGAGCACCTCTGCTGTGAGAACAGGCTGAGAGTTGGGGTCCTGCAGAAATAGAGAAGGCTCCAGTAAGACCTTATTGCAGCCTTTCAGTACTGAAAGAGGGCTTGTAAGAAAGATGGGGACAGACTTTTTAGGAGGTCTTGTTGCCATAGGACAAAGGGTGATGGTTTTTAAATTAAGAGGTAAAGCTCAAAGAGTTAAACTGAAAACTAGAACGTTCAAACTAGATATAAGGAAGAAATGTTTAACAATGAGGGTGGTGAAGCACTGGCACAGGTTTCCTGGAGAGGTGGTAGAAGGCCCATCCCTGGAAACATTCAAGCCCAGGTTGGATGGGGCTCTGAGCAACCTAATCCAGTTCAAGATGTCCCTGCTCCCTGCAGGGAGGTTGGGCAATATGGGCTTTAAAGGTCCCTTCAGCCCCAAACCATTCTGTAATTCTATGATTCATTTTGGCTGCAGGCATGAGAAACCTGCTGTTTCGGCAAGGGGGCTTAGAGGGGATTTGCGCCAGCTGGAGGGGACAACTGTTGGGCATTCCCAGTGGCTTATCAGCTTCGTGCTTTAGGCACAAAGCTGGGATTAAAACTTGCTCTATTCCAGGAGCTACTCTTAGAAATAAGTCTGCACTAGCCCCAAAAAAGGCTGAGAGCCCAGTCCTTCATCATATACCAGCTCTCATGTGGATATTCTAGATTCTTCTGGGTCAGACAGTCAAAATACCTCCAGCAGGGAGGTGCATTCTTGCTTCTGTTGCAATACTGCTCTGTTTCTGTTTTTATAGGAATTGGTAACTGCTTGTACGATTTATTTATTTATTTATTTTAAAAAGTCTGCCGCAAGGTGAGCTAATATGTGCACCTGATGTTAGGATTGATTGCGGAATGATTTCATCTGCTCCTGTTTAATGTGGTCCCGTGGACAGCTTGTACTACAAGACAAACTGTGGTCTAGAAGCACCGGTAAACCAGAATTACAAGGTTGACCTGCTTCAGGCTTGTGTTGGGAATACTAAAGAGAGAGGCAGTGAACTTCCCAGCTGCTGACCAGCTCTTTGAGTGTTTTCCTTGTCCTACAGACTGCTGCATCCCAGAAAAATGCAGCTTCCCGTGTGGGTCAGAGCAGGGTCTTCCCTGGGATTTGCTGCAAATTGCTGGATGCTACTGAGGAGGACATGGTGGTGCTTGGAGAGGGAAGTTCAGATAATAAATGCATGCACCAGGAAAATTTTTCCTATGTTCCCGAAGTTAGAGGCTGCTTTGTGCCCTATAACCTCAAGATTTGCGGTCTCTTATGATAGTCTGTGCTCTTAAAGTCACTCAGCATCCCGTCCGACTTGAAACCTGCTTTGCTGTGGGTCTTGGAAACCTCGTGGGTGGTAACTTCCACGGCATGAGACTGTGCCAGTGTCTCTGTGTCTGACTAGTGAGGCAGAGAGATGCTAAGAGACAGCCAAAGGAAATCAGCTCTTCATTTATTTGCCTTCCCTGTCATGCTTGGCATTGTTTGAGTGTCCTTCAGAGCTTTGTGTGCTCAGGAGAAATTCTGCAACAAGCAAGACTTGTGTCTTCCCCCTTGCTGCGTAATGAAGCACAGAGATGGACAGACTTGCTTTATTGCCAGCAGAAAGGGCAGAGCTGGAAACCTGGGGTGACAGGGAAAATACTGCCTGAGAAACTTGGGTGGGTTTGCGATAAGCTGGAAGGAAATGGAGTTGGAAACTGTGAGCCGAGAGGCTTTCAAAGGCTTGAGTGCCCATGGGTCAAGAGTAGATCCTGGCTCTTGGGACCCCAAGTTCTGCCGAATTCCGCTCCATCTGCGATCGACCCCAGCCCAGGAATGGCGGGGAGAGTGTTGGCGGGGAGAGTGGTGGCGTGGAGGAGTTGTTTATCATGCAGTGGAAAAGCCATTTGTGCGCTGGAGCCCCTCGGCCGCGCCAGCTGTTGTGCAGGGAGCCGAGACCTGCAGGAACCCGATAGCGCCACAGATGGTCCCCAGGGGAGAGCGGGGGCTGCGGGAACACACTCTGCGCTTGAGCGGCTTTCTTGGGCTTGGAAGGAAACCTGCTGATCTCCTCGGGGTGGGCAGGAGCGTGTCCGTCCCACTGCTCGTGCCACGGGCATGTAGCGGGGTTGAATGACCTGCTGTGCCGCTGATGTGTGGGGCTTGATGGAAGTGGGTGGGAGAAAACCACCTGTAGCAACCTCTCCACAGCCCCAGGTATCACTCCTGGTGGGGAAAATGGTGCGTGCAAGCTTGTTTATTTTTTTTTTTAATCTTGTCTTGCAGCTGAGCTTGGTCCTGACTCAATGCAACCCTCAACGCCACTATTCCCTCTGCTCCACGGAAGAAAATTGAAGGATGTTTCTCTTCTGCCTGATGTCAGCCCGCGTTGGTACAGCCTTGACTCCTCAGGGTTGACTCCAGTTGGATGAAAGGAACTAGATCAGCTGGCAAAACCCATTCTTGTTTTAACCTTCTCTGTGACTCTCTTTGGCTTTTTTTTGTTGGTTTTTTATATCTGGCTCTGCTATGGAGATGGTAGGCTGTGCTCTGCTCCTTCTCTTCTTTCTCAAGTGTTGGAGGAGAGAGATCTGCTGAGCTGGCAGGGCTTTTGCTACGTGATGAAGAATTTCTACTTTTGTGGCTCTCGGTGGTGGGAGAGAGGGAGCTCAGCAGAAACCCAGTAAAAGATGTTCGAAAGGAAGGCAATGGGCAGATCCTGAGCATGAGGAGACTGCATGGACCACTTTGTCACCCAATTGGTGGCTAAAGTCTTCCACTGTTTACAACGCAGCCTTTATAAGAGGAGAGATTTCCGTCTCATCCCTGTCCATCAGATCACATTCAGCTTCATCCTGTTTTTTACT